CGGTGAATCGCGGGTCTCGGTCCAAGACAATCGTCTCTGGGAGACCGTGATAGCGGACACGCCATCGACGAGTAACCTTGCGGTTTGTTCGCCCGTAACAGTGACGGGAACAGGAGCAAGATGGTACATCTTGCTCAGCCGACACACGAACACCAAAATTCCGGTGTTGCCGTGTCCTTCGGCGGGAAGCCCAAAGATGAAGTCAAGACTCATCGACTTTTAGCAGCTAGCCGGTACGGGCAGGCTCTGTAGTGCAGCCGAAGAGTGCCCTGCGGGTTTGACCCGCTGATATGTTTCGCATGTCTTGACGTATCGGGCGACCCACTTGTACATGTGGGTCCACCAGAAGGACTGAGAGACCGACAGAAAGGTCTTCTCGCGGCCCAAGTGGCCGCTGGAGGGCGCGTCATGCCCTCCGCGAGGATGTCGAACTTCAGATCCTCGTCGTTGGGTACGACCACCCGTGGAGGATCAGTGGGCTCCACCCGATAATAGAGGAGGCCCTCCTTCAACTCATATCGGTGGAGCCGTGAGCGCTGTCGCGACGAGAGCCAGTCGGACTTCGCGCTCGTTCCGGCCTTAAGGAACTTGACGATAGGCGCGACAGCCTCATCGTCCCGATACGCCATGCGTATCCGATCATATAGATCCGATGTCACCCGCGTGATGTGGACCAACTCATAGTCAGGACGCCGAGGGAGGGCGTCCGCAAGCACGTTGAGCTTGCCCGGCTTGTATTCGACGCGGGTGTTGTATTCCGCGAAGAAGGACAGCCACCTCGCCATCCGTTGGGAGAGGTGAGGCGAGTTAGTCGCCGTCCTCAAGGATGCGTGGTCTGTGTAGATCACGAAGGGCCGAGAGCCCAGAAGGTGAGCCCGAAACATCACAAGGGCATATTTCATTGCCAGGAGTTCCTTGTCGTGGACAGGGTAGTTCCGCTCGGCGGCTTTAAGCTGCCTGGACTGGAACGAGATGACTCGTTCATGTCCAGCCGTGTTGGCCTGCAGCAATGCACACCCGATGGCGTAATCAGAGGCATCACAGACGACGCTAAACGGCTTCGTCTCGTCCGGCAGGGCCAGGACTGGGGCTTCTTGGAGACTGGCCTTGATGCTATCAAAGGCATCCTGATGCTCTTGCTCCCAGTGCCAGTCGACGGCCTTCAGAAGGAGGCCCGACAAGGGCTTAGCGAAGCCCGCGTACCCTGCGCTGTACTTGTGAAGGTTGTTGGCCAAGCCCAACCACTTTCAAAAATCCTTCTGGGATCGGGGCGTCGGCCATGCTGCTATGGCTTCGACCTTGTTTGCTCGCATTACTTCCAACACTCGACGGAGGTGTCCTAGATTCACCTCCATGGCCGTCTTGCCTCCCTCGACACGGCTATAGACGAATATGTCGTCGAAGTACGTCTGTACGAAGGTACGCAAAGGGCGAAACAAATGCGTTACCAGGCGATTGAACGTCGCCGGGGCGTTAGACAAGGCCTGTGGCATGACGAGTCACTCCCAAATCATGCCGCTTGGAGTGCTCACCGCGGTGAGCGGGATGTCGCTCTCTCGCATCAGGATCTGGTAGTATCCGTCTACCAAATCCAGCGCACTGTACAGTACGCTTCCGGCCATGTTGTTTAACAACACATCCTTTCGTGGGATTGGTGTTAGGGCCGACACCGTCGCGTTGTTCAGCTTGCTATAAGCATGAACGAGACGCCACTTTCCGAACGCAGAAAGTTGGCGTCGAGTGCGGGGACTTCGACTCACGCACCATGCCGACCTTCGCTTCCGCAGCGAAGAAGGCATCGACGACCTCGCACTGCTCGCGTGGAAGAGGCCATTGCCTCGTGACACAGTACTTTGTGCCAGGCGCGAGATCGATCTCATGCCGTTGGCATCGATCCGGTGGGAGCTGGTTCGGTGGGTGTTTGTTCGCCACGTCCGCATACTCCGTCACCAAAGGATACACCGGATCCTTCGGATTCTAAGGATCTTGGAACTCAAGCGCGTCTGACACTGCTTGTTCAGGTCTTCTAGGACGTCCTCGTCCAAGATAGAGGAGGTGTTCAGCTCCTCCCGGGTGGTCTCAGGTTTTCTAAACACCATCTCGGCAACCTTCCCAGCCTTGAGGTTGGCCACGGAAGATTCGACCGTCATTTCCTCGAGGTTTAGTATCTCTGCAACTTATGGCAACGGTTCCAAGTGGACACCAGATGCCTTGATGGATAAACCGGTCTCGCCATCAAAGATGTGATAACACTCTTCCACCGGCCGTGTCGGAGGGGCCCGGGCCCTGGACTCTGAGTCACTTGAAGCGACGTTAATCTAAACGAGGTTCAGATCCCACTTTCGGCGGCGGCGGTGTCGTCGTCGACGGCGACCGTGACGTGGAACTTTGTTACCCACGTCTGGGGATGTCGGAGCGCCGACATTCGAGGCACTCGACGCCTCGTGTGGTACTATGTTACCCACACAGGAAGCGTATCCGACGTCTTCCTCTTCAGTTAAGGTCTGGGTGACCGTGTGTGACACTATGTTACCCACACAGGAAGCATATCCGACGTCTTCCTCTTCAATTTAGGTCTGGGCGACCGTCTGTAGAACTCTGTTACCCACCTTGAACACGCTATTGCTAGCATTCGTGACAACCGCAGCTGTCTGCGGAACTATGTTACCCGCTTGTGGACCTAAGTCACCCACTTGGCCAGCGCCTCCTCTGGGCGCCGCCACCATCGAAGCATCCTCGGAGTCGTCATATACGTCGACGACCCCCAAGCATCTTCCGGATGCTTCGGTATCCTGGCCGCCCTTGCGGGTGCCCCAGGTCCTGACAGAGGTGGGAACATGACTCATTACCGCTCTGTAGGACATCGCAGGGCGGCTGGCACCGATTGCATTGCCTCGCCTGGTGATCCGGGGCTTGTGCTTCCGGAGACAGGGCATGCACAGGATCAAATCGTATGAATCCATTTCGAGAACAGTGAGCTGTTCGAGGCTGTCAACGTCTTCAAACTTGACGGCCAGATTCACTTGGACGTTGGGGACAGTGACGACCTTCCCCTAGGTCAGTCGTACTGACACCGTCCCGTTGTCCTTGCTTTCTCTCAAAGCATCGGACAACTTGTTGCTATAACGAGCTGCCGTCTGTTGACGTGCGAAATTCCTCGACGCCCCAGAATCGATCAAGATTCTAAAGGGGCGATCGTATCCCCGTACAAATCCGTGTACTACGAGCAACCCGCCGTTGCTCTTCGCCTATTCGAGAGTGCGAAGAGTCTCAGGATCTAAGTCCCCGTGGTACTCGCCACCCGCGTACCCTTCACGAAGCCTTAGTTCTTCCCCAGTAGTGTGCCCCGCCCCTACTGGTCTCCGGCGTTCTCCTGGCCCCGGGATCCTGGCTTCTACCAGCGACCCTTGAGGACGGGCTTGGGGAAAGTCCGCCTGCGGATTCTTTCCGCGGGGCAGTCGCGCTGGAAGTGGCCCATCATCCTGCAGCCGAAGCAGCGAATGTCACGCTGCTCGGCGGACCCATGTTTCATGGGAACTGGTCCGTTGGTGCTCGTTCTACCGGGAGTCGACAAAGAGCTCCCAGGCCATACTGAGGCCGGCGTACGCGCCTGACGATGGCTGTATTCTTCCTAAAGAGCCACTTGAATCGCCTCTTCAATGGTGCTTGACTGCACCCGGAACAGCTGAGTGCGCGCTGGGCCCACCCAAAGGTCGGTAATGAACACAGTCATCTTGATGTGTTCGTTGAGTGGGTTTCCAAATAGGGACGCCGGGAGCTCCCGTATCTCTTGGACGTACTCGTGCAGCTCACGCCTCCCTTGCTTGCACGAGAGGAAGCGCGAGCGCTGGCGGTACTCGTAGTTTGCCGGGAGGAACGCGGCTCGGAGCTGTTCCCACAGCTGATCCCAGGATGTGAAACATCCAGGGGATGTTGCCTCCCGCGTATATACCCAGCCTTTGCACGACCACTAAGGTTGGAGAGTGCAAAAGCAACACGAAGCTGCTCGGTCAAGATCAGAGCCGCGTCCATCGCGAGCTCTACCTCTCTGACCCAGAAGTGTAGGTTCTCACCTTTCTTCCCTTCATACGGCCTAATTTTCAGCCGTATTGGCTTCGAGTGGGGCGGGTTTCCACCGCCAAAGCCTGCAGGTTCCCTTACACATGCGTGATGAGCCCCTTCTCGTAAGCGTAAAACGCATTGACACGCTCGAGCTGCTCGGCCGGTGTTGACACCACCAAGCTCGGCGGTGTATCCATTTCGAAGATGCCTGCCATCTTCTGAACCGACTCGAACTGTGAGTCGATCAGATGGGAGAAGTCGTTCCTATCCATGGCAACGAACTTCAGAGAGGTTCAGGTAGTCTACCCGCGTTGGCGTGGATTGACTACAAGTGCTACCAAGTGTGGCGGGGTCACACAGCACCTTGCGCTAGAGGAAGTTGGCTTCCGAGAGTATACAAACTCTCAGTGAACGGCAGTTCACAGGTCCCCTTATACCGAAAGGGAGCGAAGTGACCAACTTAAGGTAGATTGTAAACTGAGTATATTTATAGGTAGGCTAAGCTTGAGTTAAATATACAAACTACAAGTCACCTATAGAAAAGCAATGTCATCAGCCAATGGTTGGCCTCGGACGACCTTTTGGTACCTTGTACCAAATATCCCGAAGTATGACGTGTCATACTTCATGTAACTAGGGGTACACTTAGGGCTACGTACCCCGGTACAGAAGTAGTGACGATGGTGTCGCCAGCAGGAGCAGCAGCAGTAGTAGTAGTCCTTGCAAAGAGTCCGGCGACAACGAGCGAGGACGGCAAGGCCGGCGAGAGAGGCGGCGTACTTAACGACGTGAGTAGTAATATTTAGAACATTACGACGTCATTTTTTGTTCCTCTCGTTATTTATTATCGAGGGTAGGTTTAAAGCTTTTTCAACAACAGATGCGGTTTTTAATGACGCCCTTCTTCCTCATTTCAGAATTCGCCGGTCGGAGGAACGATGGTGATGCTCTTCTGTGCGATTGTTGGTGTGGCGGGAAGTGCTTTCTCCGTGCGAGTGGACGAGAGCGACTCAGTGGATGACCTAAAAGAGAAGATCAAGGGGGAGAAGCCGAACGACTTCAAAGAAGTCGATGCAGACAAGCTGCAGCTCTTCCTGGCGAAGACGGAGAAAGGCGCCGGGGCGTGGCTGACGGAGAAAGACGTGATGGAAGGTGTTAGCGACACGAGTGATTTGAAGCTGCTGGGAGCGGCGCGAGTGAGGCTACGGCGTGTGGGGTTGTCGGATAGGGAAGTTGGCGGAGTGGATGAAGCAGAACCAGCAGAAGGGAGAGGCCCTGTGAACGTGCTGGTGGTGGTACAAAGTCATGTTCGCGTTGACATTGGCGAAACCGGTTTTAGAGCGCTGAAATATAACGTACGTATTCTCACCCTATTGGGATATGCTGTTGCTAATTTCTCTTCAGAGCGGGGTATAGACGATGGATCATCAACGTACAATGCTTCGTACCTGTCATTTTGGCGATCATTACAATCATTGTTTTGGCCTTTGGAGAAAACCCAACAGACGAAAAAGGATATATAAGAGCTCCTGGCCGATCGCTTATCGTGTGTCGGATGATTGGTGCTGACGTTGCGGTGGGAAAAATTCTGTCATTATCGCAATATTGGAAAGCAAAGCTCGACGACATGATCGATGAAGCAAAGAACGATACACCGTTACAAGCTTAACAGCGAACAATGACCTAACATGCAGCCGAGGTTCCGCAACACGAGTTGGTCGAGCAGGCTTCTACCGCTGGACTTCAGCGACAAGATTTGACCGAGCTATCTTCGCTACTTCCCGCTGATGAAGCTCACCGACAAACTCAACCACAACAATGCTCACGTAGCACAAGGAGAAACAAAAACAAAAAAAGTAATGAATGATGTCATTGAGTCGTGCAACTCTTAATTCTTTGCTATTTGACCTGATAAATATAAAGTTAGTAATATACAAGGATGGCGTACTCACTTGAGCAATACCAAGCTAACAGGAACGCATCAATGCAGCGCAAAAGCGCTACTACCAGCGCACACGCGAAGCACGATTGTCCTATCAAAAGAGCTGCGACGATAAGGCACATTCGTGTTTGCAAGCGGAAGCCCAAAATCGAAAGCGACAACGAAATTAGCACTGAAACCGAACTTACCTAATTAATTGATTTTTTTTCGAAGATAAAAAGTCAAGCCCAATATAGCCAATGGGATGGACACACGAAGAAGCCCTTGAAAACCCTACCCCAATAGCATTCATACGAATGAACTCGTTAGAAGGGTATGGCAATTAATTAATTTAAAAAAACTTTGTCGATGGCTACGATATAAAGTCAATCCTGATACACAATCTCTAAAATATATAGTCATTTCACGAAGAAAAATATAGCGAACGATATATACAACGGCTATGTTTGCATACGAGCTTGAAGGTCTAAAAAGATTAAATATCTTTTTTAAATATCCGAGCGATTAAATGGGGAAGCAGCTACCGAGTTAAGGTTCGCGGTAGGACCGGTACTGTAAAACATTTGTGCATCCGGACCTTTTGTCCATCCGGACGCCAGAATTAGCCAATCATAATGATGTAGCTATTTGAAAAAACCTTACTATGGAGCATTTGTCCATGCGGACCTACCTATTTTTACCCACTCAACTATTTATGCACAGGATAAAGCCGCGGTGAAACTACTAGCAAGCAGACAACCAGCCTTTCACATTAAGAGCCTGCAAGTGCCAGCATGGCAAGAGGGCGGAGCCGCGCTCCTGGTGGCGCTGGGCGAAAGCCAAACGGCTACAAACGCGAGTGCGAGAGCTACACTAACAAGCTGGACGTAATAAATTTCCTTCGTGACAACAATGATGACATGGATGCTACTCTCGATAGATTTTACTGCCAACTCATCCCAGCAAAACGCGTATCAAAGCGCAAGCGGATCAACGAGTGGTCGAAGCAGCGTACACACATTGAAGCCATGGTTGCCTCCACCGCTACGGCAAATTTGAGGTCTTACAGAGCCCCAGGAACAGCAACAACAATCAGCAAGTCTGGAGAAGAAAGCATTGTTGAGTGGATTAATTCGCTACGTGGTGAGGGTATCCCTGTGTCCCGTCTAATGCTTCAACTTCAAGCTCAGGAAGTTGCCCGTGACGAAGGCGTAGCAGATGGTGTTTTCACTGGGAGTTGGTGCTGGCAGCAGGGGTTTCTGTCTCGTCATGGCTTGTCTTTGAGAACAAAAACTCGTCAAGGCCAGAAAACCCCTGCTGCCATGGAAGACGCTGCCAACAACTTTTGGCAAGAGGTAGAGCAAGCAAAAAATGATCTTGGTGTAGATAAATTCTACAATGCAGACCAAAGCGGCATTTGCTTCGAGTATCTGCCCAAGCAGACGGTGGACAGAAAAGGTGTCAATACAGTGTGGGTCAGATGTGGTGGAAAGGACAAGAAACGCCTGACAGGCATGTTTCTGGCAGATTCGACTGGAAAACAGTATGACCCTTTTTTCGTGGTTAAGACTGAGCCCTCGCGCAACCCCGACAAAGCGGCCTACAACTACGTGGCCCAACATGGCTTTGGAGACTCCTTGTGGAAAACAATGCAAACAATTCAGAGTGATGCTGCTCTGCAAATCTATGGCAACAGCTCTGCGTGGTGGAACTCAGGCTTATCCGTCGCTTTTCTGGACTACCATTTCGCAAATCGAGATGAGGCACAGCCGGTACTGTTGCTTTGGGATGATTTCTCGGCTCATTGGACTGATGAAGTGCTTGAGCATGCAGAGCTGCTAAATGTGCACCTTCTTAAAGTTCCTCCTGGATTAACTTCTGTGTGCCAACCAGCTGATATATCCTGGTTTCGACCACTTAAAGAACGCCTTCGAAAGCGCTGGGTTCAGCACGTGTCGGAGCAGCTACAACAATTCCGTCAAGGAAATTCAGGCGGCAAATTTCAGCTTAATCCTCCCTCTAGAAACGATGCTATCTACTGGGCTACGGCAGCGTGGAACGATCTCGGCGCTTCGGTGATTTAAAGCGGCTTTAAACGCCAGCTTGCGGTAAGTCCGGCAACTGAGCACGAAAACCAACTCGTTGAAGCGTTGGAGCGACTGCAACTGGTTGAAGAGACCGTCAACGAATCTGACGATGTCATCAACCAGTTCATTAACGAGACAGATGATCAGCAGTAGTGGATCTGCAGGAAGATTTGCATTTTGCATAGGAGTAGAGAAAAGGTAAGATCAAAGCATGAGGTTTTTCATTTGTATGCAATCTTGTGCGTCCGCATGCATAAATGTTTTACAGTAAGATGGTGTATGTGAGCAACTTATCGCGCCTCAGAAACTTAGAGCCTGTAGTGAAGCAGTACAAGGTCAGTCTCAAGCGACTGGAGAAGAACTTATCCCCAGACTATAAGACTGACCCTCATTATCGCTTTTACAAGGGCAACCACATGGAATCGCACCTATACGAAGGATTCCACTGTAGTGAGTTCTATGACAAGCTTGAACACGTTCTTGAGAGTCAGACAAGTGCTTACAAAGTCAACCTTGCCCTCGGCTATGACCTTGGAGAGCGCGTTAAAATCAAAGACGAAAACGGTCATTTCACAGAGAGTGGGTCATTTTCACAGAGCGTGTTACCATTTCACAGACCGTTAAGGCAATTAATATAATACCGGCAGCTAAAAGGAATCCAGCTGTCTTATCGGATTTGCTTTAAAATAAATATCAGCACTTTCTGTTAAGTGTAAACAAGTCTCCTTTAAGAAAAAATAAACTCCAAAAATGACACAAACCAAAAAATAAATACTGTGTATGAGTGTGGTCTTGAGCACACGAATAACAACAATACAACAGTGCTACAGTGGCTAAAGGTGCGAGACGACGAATGCCTACCAACGAAGGAGACGAAAGTCATCGCCACATCGACCACAAGCTCAAGGGGAAATATGCCGCATTGATACGAAGCTATAGTTTTTAACTTGCCGGCAAAGCTGGCCGCGTAGGCAAAAAAACGATGGTTGATAAAGGCCAAAGCGACATGAGGCCGACCCCACAGAAAGCCGTTGCCGTGGATAACGCAGTCGTTCTCCAACTCGATATATTGCAGCTGTTCTCGTCACGATGCATGCCCGCCATTTTAGTAGCTAGCAGGGATAGAAGTGTTCACCGAATCGGTTTTCTTGTTTGGTCACTACACAGCGCCTGAAGGCATGTCTCCAAGAGTGTCCCTTCTACTGTGTGTTGATTCTCTGCGGTGAGGGATCAGCGTGCTTTACTATCGGGGCGCCCAGTGCTATTATGACGTTCACTGTTCCGGACGTCTCGTCAGCAAGCCCAAAGCCGTAGAGGCCGGCGAGGGTTTAATGACTTCTGTTGAAATGATTGTGATTCGCTCTACCGGCAGAATTGCATTAGTTGGTATAAATCTGCCGGCTAATTTACGCTGTTTTTGAGCCTTATAACTAATCTGGTAGACGATACGCAAGTTATTCCCAGCTATGCTACCGGCAAATTGTACAATAAATACTTGTAGTACAAATTAAACTGAGTACAGATACATACACTTCTGCCGGCAGAATAGACGAGTGTATCTGCGAGAAAATTTGCTAGTGTTATAAGTATAACGAAAGGGAATGACTTACTTGCTTAGTAGTACAACTACGCCGGCAGATTGAATAGCATGACTTGCCAAGCACGCGTCTATTCGTCAGCAGCGTTAGTCTGCCTGCTTTGATTTCACTGCTGCTATGGCGGTCGTCAACGCCCAGCAACAAAAAAAGCATTCAAGCCAAGTACATGTCATAATATGGCTTGAAATGAAAGCAAGTGCGTATCCGCCGGCAGATTTGCTACGGCAACATGTATTGCAATTCTACCGGCAGATTTTACAGCATGGCTTAAATGAGTGCAAGTGTATAGCTTCCAGCAGATTTCTTTCAGTGCTGCAATTCTGCCAGTAGAATTATTAGTAATTGGTGTGTTCTGAATGACAGGAAGCGCATATCTGCCAAGATTTGCTTAACCCCTCTACCCCGAAAATTGTTCCGGATTATCCGTATTAATTAGAATATGAATTAACGTATACGGAAAAATCAGTACTAAATATCTTTTTGAAAGCCTATTGCAGGGACACGTCATCAAGTGATAGCTTACGATTGGCTGAGAACGCTGTTACAAAAACGGCATGTGAACAAAGAGCGCACAAAATTCTCTGAATTAATATAACCCTGCAAAAATGTTCAGATAGTTACCGGATGGGCAAACGAATTTCGCGCCAAAATGACAATCATTCATGGAGCCAACACACTTTCATTTAATCCTACAAAAAATCCTCGTCGGTGTTGCCGTCGTCCACGCGGCGCTTCGCTACGAAGCGAATCTTGTGCTGCAGCTCGGGAGGGACGGCAGTACCGTTGCGCTACGTTTGGTGCCACACCTGGCTACACGTAAGCTCACTGCCCTGCTCCAGCCGTCGCGCCTTGTTGCACAGGGTCACACGGCCCTTCTTGGAAAGCGAACATGTCCCGCAGAAGTAGCTGCTCTCATA